TGCAATGGAGCCAGGCCTAAGTGGCGGAGATTCGTAGAGACTGTTAAACTTGGACAGTGACGTCCGGCTAGCGCAGCCAATCGCTGCGATAGCCTACTGGGTAACATATTTGCCTGCTAATATTAAGTATAGGCTCAAATCCGGGCATAGACATACCGACTTCGTTTCGTGCAGGGATCCAAGCGTTTGTCTGGCGGTAAGGCAAATTTAAATTACTGGATGACAATTTCCTTTACTGCTAGAAAAGGCTAAGCCAGCCCTTGGTTAAATTTCATGAAGACACATTTCTGGCAGGGGAAATGGAGGCGGCGAGTGCTTCTGCACTAGTGCGGGGCACTGTCGTTTTGTAATGACCTCATTTCCGTCCGCGATTGCGACGAAGATCGGAGCTATAAACGGTCATGCTGAAAAGCTTCCCAACGAGAGTGAAGTTAGCATTCATTATTACTTAAGTACAAGTACTCAATACGTGGTTAGGCTTAAATTAAGCGAACATTAAACGAACACTATTTACTTCACAGTCGCATGTACCCTAATCGTTTAGGATACCATGTTTGCGCATTGAAATTTTCGTTGGCTGCCGGCAAAGGCCGCTCCTTTGGAACATAGAAAGATTAATCGTCTGTTTGATCTTGTTAATGAAATAGTTTACAGAAGCTGAACGGACTGCATTTGTGGAAGCGCTTTACCCCAATAGCCGGTTATATTACATCAACTGTGAACCCGCTAATTGTTGTAGCTGCTAGATTATGCTAATGTTGAATGTGTAAAAAACGTTTTACAATAATTATGGTGTAAAACGTTTTTTACAGTCTGACACTTGTTCGATAAATATGCTTGTCCAGACTGCAGTTCCATAAATAAACCAAAAACTTGTATTGACTAAGTTCGGCGGGCGACTGGCTTCGAAAAACGCCTCGAACCTCCTGTGGCCGCCATGCTGCTGATCCGATATAACGTTCTTCGGTTACTTGTTTTACTTTTGCGTGGAAGATATCATTTACACGATAAATACCAACTGAGAGCTAATATTTAAGCGGTAATTGACTTGATTGGTCACAATATGCGATAGAGCATTTAATCAAGATTGTGATGTGTGTGTCTATGAATATGTACAAATACGAAAAAACGAACCCTTTCGCTTAGCTAGTATGTCTTTTTTAAATGCAAAACATATGTGTAAAAGACAATTTGTCTGAAAATATTATATATAACTGCCCTTAAAAAATACATTCTGTGCTGTCATAGGCCCTCGATGAAAAAAATATTATCTAACTCAAAAACCGGAGCGTTTTTGCAAGAAATTATTGATTGTTGCGCATGCATTACTGAAACGCAAACAGCAGATTCGTTAATTCTTAATTAACGACAACTTAGATCAAACGGAAAGATGTAAACCGAATCGATCAAGAAAGTAAAATATGTAAATTCTGCAATTATATATTTTAAATACGGCATCTTTATAATTGAATCGTTGATGTGTATCTGTGATAACTTACACGTACATTCTTCTATCCCGCCATATGGTTAAAATCTCCTCAGAGCCGCTAGAAATGATATACTTGTTGAAGTAAAAGTATATGGAACTAAACTTCTATAAAGGAAAATGAAGAAGATATTTAGTTCAGAAAAGTTATTCATTATTGTCCTTGTTAATCTCTCTATCAATATCGTCAATAGGTATAAAACTGGGAATGTCATTAAAAAATAAATTAAACCTCTTTATAATTCATTTGTACTTAATAGAAAGGACGTTCGTGGATCAAAAATAGAAGACACATTCAATAAAATTAGTTATTTCGAAAAAATAATTATAATAAATCATTATAAAATAATAAATTACTCTGCTATGTACCCACACCATCGATTTCAACTAGTTAGAAACACCCAAAAAGGTCTTCAAGGTCAATCGAGGGCGTTTCTGGATCTGACTAGTTTTGTCTACAAAGTCATACGTTACGTACGGAGTGGCGAAATGAACGCAATAACAAATTGAAAAGTATTTTCATATAAACTTACTTTAGCATTTAGTTTAGCGCGGGGCTCGTAAAATTTAACATATTGATCAAACTCTGTAGGATATTAGCTATCATCTGTTTGATACTTGGTTTGGTCCATCACATAACTGCTCGATATTCGAGGGCTTTGATATACAGTTTTTCCTAGTGAAACTGAATAAATACCATTATCCCAGTAAACTGCCGTATACATTCTGTATTTGATGCAATATGCGAGTTTTTACAAATATTAACAAGCGCTTAGAACCGTATCGACAAAAGTGCAGCTTAACTTCTGAAGGAATTCTGTCCTAGCACTCGGGTCACAAACATACACTAACCGTATAACGATAAAAAAAGCATCTCTACCTTTTAAAGCTTTCCATTATAATATTATGAATGTCGTGGGAGATAACTGAAAAAGCTTGATCTAAAAAGCCATTGATAGTAAATAACCGCAAGCAACAAAATGGTGGACCAAGTTTATGTTGAGGAGACAATTGTCCGCGTCAACGTTAAAGGTATAACAACTCGGTCTTGAATTTCATGTATAAATATAAAATAAAGAACAAGTATATATGTGTTGAACGTTAGCTCCATTTTGAGGATACCTATTAGGCTAAGAATTAGCATACTAATCGGCCAAATAGGATACAATCTTAGTTTTTACTTCGATCAATTGGGCGTTTGCCATGGCCAGTTGTACCACTGTGAATGCGCTGGGAACAAAAAAAGGTTATATCACTTTTTACCACTGGCCAAATGGAGCTTACAGAGCATAGAAAACAGCTAAGCATTTGTACGAAGCTGAAGCTGAATTCTTGTTGAAACGTTAAAGGGTCGAGTATTTTTCACAGTTATTTCCGTCCAACTGGTTCTATCAAATATCCCGTAAAGTATGTCACTATAAAACGTCGTAGATCTGGTCAAGCGGTGTTGCTCGAATACGGCTGTTGTTATACCATAATAGGTATCAGCAGTCAACGTGACAACAAGACTTTCAACACACAACCTTTTTGTTATTATTATTCCAAAACCTTGTAGGATTATCGTTTTGATCGGTTATGCTCTGGCTCCAGCAGAACTTTTATGGGGTCGATATGTGATCTAGGATAGGAATAGTACATGCTTTAAAAAAGTCCATGTTTCCTAGCATACTTAACGTACTATAGACTGAAGTAATTTTATCTATCATACGTTTTAATCGAAACTTCCCTGACACTGTCTGTTGTTTGTAATTTGTGCTATCCTATATTACTTACACATGTTTCTTATAACTTGATTACCTTGAGGCTTAGGTGAATCATAATCATCTACGGGTAACTGTTATACCACTCTTAACTCTATCATACTATGTCTGGTACAATGATGTGACTAAAAAATCAACAGTACTCCGTAAGCAATAGCTATGCAGTTCAATAAAAAGAAAAATCAAAAATAGTTTTTTTTATGTAAATCAGGTTATATCAGTTCGTATATATATGCGAAAAAGCGTAATCGGAAGGCTCTTGGAAAACGCTACTTTGGAAGCCAACGCTTAATATTAAAAAGTATATTTTTCTCTTTTTGTCGAGCTAAAATATCATAATACTTTGAACGTTTTCGAAAAACAATTTTACTATCTGACCGATTATAAAATTTAACTTAAAATTTCAGATTTGATTTGATTGAATTGAGATTGATTGAAGCACAATCGCAAGAATCGGTCCATAATAAATTACTAATACTTCGCCCATATACTTATAAGAGATATAACCTTAATCACAAACGTCTAGTAGTAGACAATGATATGCCGAGATCTGAAGTTTAATTATGTAGATCAGTTAAGTTACTTATGAAACCACACATCTGGAGATCTTGTACCCAGCTTTCAAGACAAGGTGCTTCTTCAATATATCAAGCGGATGATATACCGAAGGTGTGATTTTGAAAGCTTGATCACATAATTTAGAGATATGCTAAACGAACATCTTATCTAGCGTTAACATGCGGTATCGTATTAGAGTTAACGAGTTGCCCCAGTAAAAGACAGAGTCGATTATAAATTCTCACTTTTTTAGTTGATATAATCTATGCTAGCACATGTAGTTATGAGTCAGATTCTGCCCCTCACTTTAACCGTGTTCGGAATTCGCTCGATTTTGCCGTTAGAATCTCTATTTAAACGAAGCAATTTTCGCTATAATGGGGTACTTTTAAGCGGAACAACGCACAACAAGTACAAATGAAACGTATAGCCCAGTCGACCACGCCCGTGGCCATTCGCGTGTTTCTTCACCCAAGCTGTCTTTTTACGATCGCATCGTCAGGAACACAGCACCAACAAGAGACTATCAAAAAGACCGACCCAACCTACTACGAGTACCTTTATGGGACATCTAAGCGCTGTTAAGACCGTAAACAGTGTAAAGCCTGGACATAGTTCAACGACTGCTTGTGTGTAACGCTGGAGGGTACGAATTACTACTGCATAGACATACATTCGTTACTCTTGCATGTCTTAACGTTCTTGCTGTGGAGTCAGCATCACAGGCGTCTAGACAAAGCCCCTTCAGGTACGTTAGCAGGCTTTGTGTCTAATACGCCTGAAACGATCCTCTCTCCAAGTTGGCTCCAACTTGGGAGGTAAACGATCATGGCTAATGTAGCGACAAGAATCCTGCGAGCGAAACGAAAGTATCGTGCGTCGCTGGCCGAATGGTAAACAAAGACGGGTTCGCAAGAGTGATTCACACAGTAACGTTTAAAGGAAAAAACTGCTTGGCATTTCTATCTGTTCTTTGCAGTAGTATGTTTCATCTATATGGATGTGGTGCTTTAATAAATTCTTGAAATTTATTTATTTATCCAGTGCAAAAGTGCTTCGGGTTGCCCGCTAACGTTCGCTGAATATCAGCATCTGGACTATCCGCAGAGCATACGGTTAAACCTATTCTGAGAGGGAGCTCAAAATGTGATCGAGACTTAAACGTTTCCTTGTTATTTGGCTGTATGAGGAAACTCTGTTTAGATATACAAGCCCTTTCTGCAAGAAGGATACGATGTACAAACAGGACAAATAGCGTGACACTAATTAATTCTGACCTACTTCATTAATGCAATCGGAATTACGCTAATATTGGTGCTATAGGATACGTTTGCACGCAACGACAATACATTATCGTCACTGCGTCACAGCGTAATTTCTGCGCAGCTGATCATAATCTGTATTGCGGGGCACAAGAAAATCTGATTGCTGAAAATGTTGGATCACGAGATTATAATAAAGACCATTGATTTTCAGTTTTGCTGTAAATACTTTAGCCGGCAAGGTTTTGAGGTGATTGCTCGCCAAAATGCGTCTCATGGAATGGATGATGGAAGGGTCGTTCGACATCTCCGAGGTTCCATATAGGCATTCGCGAGTAGGTCTGCCTCGGAGGATGGTCTGGATGCTTGCGGCAATATTTTCCATAATCACGTTCATACTAGTAGTCGCTGGAGCAATTCTCACAGCGATTGCGTACACTGAAGTGCGGCCACCTACAGCTGATGATAATTACCAGCGATATCTCGGTTCAGACTACCGCAGAGTTATTGGTGAGTCTTGGAGTTCGCTATGAAAACGACTATGTTAGAAAAAAAAAGATGCGTTTACCCGACACATCATTTTAACTATTGATTTGACCATTATTATTTAAACCTGACAGGCATTTATTACAGCATCTACGGTGCTTTAAAACAGGCTAAAAAAATCACGCAGATGTGATTTGTGAAAAAAAATAACATGATATTTTTATCTCAAAAAAATATATTGCCTTCAGCGTAACGTAGAGAAATGTTGTTGTTCTGCTATGTTCAATAGCTATGGAACTCTTTGAATGCGAAGTAATGCACTTTGTTCAATTGTGGCTTCCAGGTCCGTTGATGATGATCATTTCACTGATGGTTTTCGTTATGGGTATAGCCTATTTACTTGGTCGGAAGATCTCGCACAAGGCGGACAAAAAGCAAATGGCGCTCCTTCGAGAACGCTTGTATCCTCAAACAAGTCTAGTCCGTAATTATATGTTAAGAAATTAGCAATTTTTTTTAACGTTGACATTGGCGTGGTTGCACCTTTTATTATTACTGATATGCTATTGTTAAAATACAAAAATAAGACTCTTTTTAACGTAAAACAGTTCTAATAGCAAACAAACTGTATCGTTCACGCCGTTTAAAACCGATTGCCGATCATATACTGCGAGGTCTTATATGACCCTAAACTAAGGAAGGTCACCGTACTCCTTCTCAAGTTCTGCTTCTAAAATCTACATTATTTATTTAATATAATACGAAAGAGGTGTGCATAACCCACTGTCCCCCTACACCTCACACCAATGCAAACTGAATTTGCCACAGTCGAATATCCCTTTCGGAAGTAACTCGCTTTTAATGTGTATACTAATATGTCACCGGTCACGTGGCTAACAAATAATATACTAATGGGTATTTAAAGTAGTGAGATCAAAACGCCAGCTTGCAAGCTTCAATTGTTACTTTTATTTCGTTATTGCAGCCGCGACAGCAGTCGTCTCCTGGACGGGGTCTGCACGACTCCTCTAAGCGCTCGCTGGACATCCACTGAGTTCGATATCTATCGAATTTACTGCCAAGACAAATAATATTAGTTGATCATACATCGATCATTCAATTCAAATCTATGCATACAGACATAAGAACCCTTATGCATATTCTGTATATAGAACCATTTCATAGAGAAAGCCTTTCAGAAAGGAACTGGCAAACATGGTCTGACAGAAGACCTCAAACATGCGTTAGTGTCCCATAATAAATTACACATACGGCCACACTTATTCGTTTTCTTTTAACAGTAGTAGAAGGTCAAGCTTCTACTGCACGATATAATCTATTTATTCGATCTCTGCCGAAAGTCTGCCGTTTATATCTGAAGTAGTGGTGAAGAAGTGAAAATGAAACGTAGCGGACTTTTTTCTAGATACACTATATCAGGTCTGCAGATATGTATGCCTTGTAGTAGATTTTGGACCGAGCTTTAAAAGTAACGCAGAAAAAATAAAAATACCGCCCTTATAAAACATTTTACAATGAATCTATTAACATTTTCACTGAAAGCAATGGTCTTTGACTGGACCTTCGAATCTGTTAATATAGGGCATCCTAAGTGCAAGACATTGTGAACCTGAGTCAGGTGAGGCTCTTCAATAGCCGGAAGAACGCTTTTTAGCGAAAAAAAAAAAAGAAAAAAAGGTTAGACTTGTCGTCCGCTTCAATACATTCGGATGTCTACCATCCATCGACTGTGTCGACTTTTGCAGTGCTCCCTAAATTAATCTGAATGTAAGGCAGTTCCAGGTCTCCATGCGTTTCATTATCGCAACGAAAATACCGTACGTACTTTTCAAATTGTTAATGCCTCTGTGTTATATCCACATCAACAAAACGGCCAGCGCCAGTTAATAGGTAACGGCCTATGGAAGACTGCTAGCATTTCCAAAGATGGATACTACTGCATTAGTTATACTGAAAATCGAGATGGTAGAGCTAGGAAGCACGTCGTAAGCATAATCCCATCGCTCGAATGTTTACTTTACCGTAGCGGATACGTTACCGACCAAAGCATTCTTGCAATCGTTCTTCGTTATTCCACCACGACCAGGATAAGTTTGACAAAAAAACAGACCAAGTTGGGCCCCAACTGTATTGCCTTGTGCTACCCGTAAGTCGTTTAAACTAGCGTCAATAGAAAGCCCGCAGCTTCGGTAAATCGAAAGCCTCGAGATCAGTGCCGCTAGATCGAATGGATATTTTTGTCTTTCAATCTCGCTGAAGGCTCTGCTGGTTAAAAAAGATAAAGTGTAAAATATATAGTCTATAGTACGATATTGACAACGCACACACAGGGATACAAGGATCTAGGAGGAGCAGGAGTCTTTAGCTGATTTAGTGCATGGGTGTGTGCTCGAATACGATAATTTATTGACCCATTTCGAGTTATTTTCGATATTCCATACAGTGAAATAACTAGTTAAATGGACATGTTGCCTCAAAGGAGAAATAGGCTAGTAGGTACGTGCCTAATCGACTTCATCGAGGTCTCAGATTATAAAGACTGGCGCGTCTGACACGTAAGTTCTAATGGGAAGCACCACTGTCTGACGCAATGGTCACTTTTTCAAGAGAAACAATTAGGAACGGCTTGAAGCACAGTCGTCGAAATCGCTTCGTTGAGGGTAAACAGATCTGAACCTACATTTTTGGCCACGACGATCGGTGGTTCCGAAGATACTTTGTCTTTAAGCTATATTCCGTCGCGTTTCAAGCGCGAAGCAAAACGGTGGCTTCTCTAATATTTGTTTTATTCTATTTGTTTTGTTCTAGAGCGTTGCGGCTCAGAACAATTTATATTGTCACAATGAAAAGACTTGTGGATGAAAAATCCACACAAATGCGGTGGACTTTTATTAATGTATACACTCCTACATAATGTAGCTGGGGGAGTAGACAGAGCAGATTTGCAGATGAGAAAATGATGGCCGCAAAATGTACAAGACAGAAATATGCTTCTCCTGAAACCCCAGCCCCAACTGCAAATCCATTATACACGTGCGATTTGTTACCACTATATAGATATATCGGTCTAAACCCTTTCTTCTGTATCAGCCCTTTTTAGCCTAACACTTAGAAATCCTCAATAACACAGTACGTTGTAATTTGTCGAGGGGCAAGACTGGCATTATCAGCATCTTCATCGCCACCGTGATCATCAGCAACAACAATAGGAATAGTTATTTCTACGAGTAAGAAATCCGTTCCCACGCGATCCTTTACGTTCGCTGGCGTTAATACTATCTCTTTGACTACCTAAAGTGACGATATGCTTACGATACTACCACGGTCATCATGCGGACCAAATAAATATGTCCAACCGTATGTTTTCCGTAGTTGAGCAAGCGAACGCTAAACAGAGAGCAAATGTTCACTCTATGAGAGGGGCTATGACGAACACTCCCTTGCCATGACGGCGATGTACGAGTCGACTGATAGGCCGCCAGGTCGGCAAATGTCGCTAAGGCATGTTTGACACGCCAGACTAGTCCCGCTGCTGGAGTTGGATGGCCCTTACGCTGCGCTTATCTACGTCGGAGCTCAGCTCTCTTCGTTACGCCTCCTATTGTCCTAAGGCCGGTTCCTAAAGATTAAACAGTGGCAAAGGGCCACAGACGTGGATCTCGATTGCGAACATGCTAAGGCTCTCGAACAAAATCTAGTAATTCGTATTAGCCTTGTGTGAGCTAAACCACTGCCGTAAGATACAAACAAATCCTAGAAGTGTCACCGCCAGACCTCGTATCTCCACAAAATTATTCGGTGCAAAAAGGGAGGCTACCGAAAAAAAGCTAAAAACAGAAAAGGATAAGATCGGATAATACAAGTCCGACTTGGTCTACTCTGTCTTAGATACGCCCCGTTCCGTGAGTAGAATATATTGTGTGACTGATTTCAGTAGCCCCGCCCTATTGGGCTATGGAAAGTGATAGGAATCGAAAGCAGTCGATAGTGCTCAGGTGGGACAAAAACCCCTTAGGATTGTGAGCTTTTACGGAAAAGTGTGATCGGTAGACGGAGACGCGCCGCGTTTATACCTGTATTGTAAATGACCAAATCACATGTTTTGAACTAAGAATGCCGTTGGGCTGCGTGCATAACAAGAAATGTGAAATAGTTCGAAAATGTTAGAAAAGAACGTATATCGGATTATAGGATAGCCCTTACATATAAATAACTTGATAAAGCAAAGTAGAAGCTTTACCCCTGGTATTTCTCCAAGTTATCATTCCGAACAATCTCTTGTTGTTGCTCTAATTGTTTTAAACGAATATAATTGTATTTCAAGCGTTTTACCATAAACCGTTGCAAAGAGTGTGAACCCCAGCTAGACGAAGTGAACCGCAAATTTCACACGCGATTGCCATTGCAGACGAACGAATTGCCTGAACAGGGCGCGTAAATTTGACAACCGATAGCCTGGTGCAATCGAATGTTTATGTGTGCGCTGTAATTGGGTCTGTTGGTACCATATTAAAGTGGTGTTCGAACCAAATTATGGGACAATGGACATCTGCCTTCTGCCTAATGGTTTAGCCTGCCTCTTTGCCGATACGCGTGCTATGGGAACGTCCTATGTTCTTAGAATAGACTTGGAAAAGGACTCTTAGTCAAGTTGCTTTGCATTGGTTTAGCACAGTTTGACTTGCGTTACATGTCCAAAGATATCTACTCTCTATGCAACATAAAACATACTGTTAGGACCATGAGAGGGCGTTAGTTACAGGAAATACGCTCATTTCACACAAGAACGAGCCCCATCAAAATTTTTTCGACTATTGATCATTTGTCTTGGGTTTTAAAAATATATTTGCACTATCATGCAGCAAACAGGATATAATAATAGCGGCAATAGAAATAATATATATGCCATCTGGGCGCTGCTTTTTAATCAGCTACTTGTCTAAAATCATACTGATGCCGATGATGAAAGGGGTTCTTGAATAGATCATTTCCAAGTAGACGAAACTTCCTGAAGCCTTTTGACCTGGGAGCGCATGACGTGTGATCATTCCTAGGAGTGCGTACATTCGACAAACTGAAATAGGAATATAGGAAGGTGGACATTTTCGTAGTTTTGAACGGTTTAGGATCTATGAGTCATCCTCGGGTATCATTAATGTAGTCATAACTTAGTATAGAAGCTCACACCTGGACAAACAAAATTGCGTCTCGACATTAAATTGCAAAGAAAAGATTTAGCAACCAGCTACGTTTTACTGTCGTTCATAATAGGCTAGCTTTGAACGGTCTGGGAATTTGAGTGGGGTTCGAGGAGTATCTGCGATGAGTGATTATTGGAAGCTTAACGGGAGAAGCCTTAAGAGAAATGACATTTTAAAGTACTGCTGAATCATAGTCTCTAGTATATCAAAGAAAAGTGGGAGGTCTCTCGAAGTGATTTGTTGTTAAAATGTCGTTCGTATATTTTGTGATGAATACAGTTTTCGCGGGAGAGTTACTAAAGGATTGTTTCAGTCACGCAGACAAGACGTCTTAGACAAACCTTGAAAAAAGCAATTTTATCGATCAGAAAGATCATGGCGACTGTCTCGCGAGTTACATGGAAAAAAACGTAATAACTTTACCAGCATAATCAAAATAATATACCACTCACCAAGTGAACTGTTTAGAATTATTAATTACGTATGCTTTCGATTGGCGTATGTACGTGCAGCGTACCCATAGTATCGGACCCTAGCGACTTACAGCGGCAAAACGTTTCAAAGCATCGAAACAGACGGCAGGGAGACTATGTCTAGGATTCATACTTGACAAATCAATCTCAAAGTGGGAGCCGTTTATTTGGAGAACGATTGAAAAGAACATGTTGACCTAAATAGGAGCGGACGAGTGTTTTCTTTTTTTCATTCTAGGGGTCATTGAAGCACTTTGTATATATAGACATGCGTTGTTGGTTGTGCCAGTCGCTCGTTTCAACTTAACATAAACTATATCCTACATAGAAACAAACTGTATTCTTAACGAGTAAAGTTTGTTTTGAATTTCAAACCATCATATTGTACCCATCGTTCAGTGATCAATCTATTAAATCGTAAATATACTATGACTACGTTAATGACATACGTACGCCCTAATTGTCTCAGAAGCTAAAATTTGAAGAACAACAAGCTGCTATTGTAAATACTTATGCATCGTTGATATTTGTCGAGATAATTTCTCAGTCATACATCAGTGAAATTGCACTTTTGTCTCCAGGAAATTTCCACACTCTCTAAAGGAGAGCTTTTGCGATTGTGCAGGTGGCCTGGAGATATCGTTGTTAGATTAACATAGCATGTAGTATTTCTTTTTGCTTCTATTTCGTTGCCAGTTAGTCTTGCCTTTTGGAGACTCGTGAGCTTTACTGTCAACTGGACACAACCGTAAAAACGATAGGTCTCAGCAACGAAAAGTATTTTCCGTTGGATAAACTTCGATCGCTTTTGGATTTCGTAAAATCTCTCGTGTGCAGACGTGTGCGTGTACACGAACGAGTCTGTTGATTAGAAAATATCATGGTGATCTTTCGTTGTAGCAGATAAATCTAGGTAAATATCTGCTGTTCGGCGAATATGGCTACTCCAGTAAGTAGTCTCGACACAAGCACAGACGCGCATGGTTGAGCTTGAAACGGACACAATCATGTATTGAAAAAAAAAAAAAAAAAAAATGGAAATTCATGAAATGATACTTAGTAGAGTAATATATTTGCTCATTTTCTCTTCACTATTGCTGTTCAAGTTAGTCAGTAAGGATGATGAATTCAGAAAGTTTACTCACACCGTTAGCTCGATAGAGCTTCAGTCTTCAGTGCGATGTGAAGATCACTCAAGAGAAAACTCATTGAGCTTTGTCTGCAGTCTGGCGCTTCCTACTTAGAGCAAGATTTGTATCACTTTATCGACCGATTCATTCAATGTCCGTTTCACGTATGCTAAATAAATGCCCAGACATTCCGAGCACCTGTCAGGTAATGATATATTATTACAATTATATTAGGTCATGTAAAGGACCATAACACGGATGTACTTGCATCGACAGCGGTTGTTTTCGTAATTCATTTCGGCGGTGATCGACATTGAGAGCAAAATTTTCAAGTTACTTGGTGACCGTATATTCCTAAAATTAGAAAAAAAAGAAACAAGGGGGAAGCGAAGAATCATTGAATTATTTCAAACGGTGCATTGTGTCGCGAGGTTACGTGGCCTAAGTTCTGCATCCTAAAAATGGATCTGCGTAAGTGGATTGATTTTCGGCTGAGGTCGCCCTTCTCTTAATATGACTTCGAAGTGTCTTTTTCTGACCTATCTAAATCTATCCACTTGACGTCTTGCTCCGATTAGCAGGTGGAAACTTCGTTGCTATATCGTGACAATTTTTTCACACGATCTTCGGAATATGCGCATTATTTATATAAAAATAGCGTTACGCAGATCTATTGTGTAGTTGTTCGTTTGTGGATTATCATATACAAAGGAAGGAGGAATCTATATCGGTACGTAATATTTGAACATAAATTCCGACCATAGAAAAGGAATTGTTTGAAAACGATCGATGACATATTTTTCCATCTATGCTAGCAAGCGACAATAAGGTTACGAGCGATAAAAGCATCACATTATAGATTCTGATGCGTCTGAACTATGGCGAGACGGGGATTTCGGTTTCCCAATTTTCCTATTTTGTATTCATAAGCGATTTTTTCCACTATTTCTCTCGCCGGATTAGAACGTTTGTCTCATACCGAAAGTAGCAACGCACGGCCTGAATAATTAGCCAAAATAAACAGCTCGTTATTTTCGTTCAATATATTTTCTATCGTTAGTAACTTCAAATTCACTTAAGTTGCATAACTGCATGATATACGTCAAGGCTTATTAGATAAATATGCAACGGTTTTCATAGCAGAACTACGCAATAAAGTGCACAGGTGTTATTCAGAAAGTAGAAATTTTTTTGTCATTTTAAAAAATAGCAAATTGATTATTATTTTATTTAGCATTTGAATTTTCTAATTGTACCTTGTATAAATGAGTAACTTTAACCAACTAGAAATATTGGCGTCGATTCAACTTCATTTCCGTTAGCAACTGTTAACGTATAGATTACTTCCAATATATATTAATGTGCAGCTTCAGCCTCCTTATCTCTCCAATTATATTTATTAACGTCCCTTAAATTAGGACGATGACAAAGAAGATTTTTACTGGCAGAATACGAAAGAGCTTTTCAGGAGTTGACTACTATCGCAGAGCTACTGCGTATTAGTTAACGCGTATAAAATATATATATATATATATATAACATCTCGAATGCTGGACACATTGGGTGAAAATAAAAATACGTTAGCCGTATGGATAGGCTCTTGTTGTCCTTGTATTAATGTGCCTAGTGGCATCCAAGTTCTAAGCCTTCTACGAGTTTCCAAAACTTTTGAGCCTGACAAAGCCTAGCATAATTAGTATGTAAAATACATATAAAAGAACTGTGAATTTTTGCGCGAAACATTTAAATAACGAGAACCTTACCCAGGTTATATGTGTACTAATTTGTAGGCTAAGCAGTCTATAACGTGCCTCTCGCAACGTGAGATTCGGTTGATTTTGCAGTTTGTGATCCCGAGATGGGGCTAAACATGTCTTCGGATAGCATCTTGCTATCGCGGATTTCGTATCGACATTCACGAGTCGGTAATCTCCCCTACATCGTCTACTTTTCCGGATGCCTTGCCACTTTGGCCTGTTCGCTCCTGATAGCCGGGGCGATCATGATGGCAATTGTCTTCACAGAGGTTCGACCGCCAACGGATGATGAAAATTATCAACGATATATCGGAGCTGATTTCCGTCGCGTTATCGGTAAGCATCGACAAGCAGACCATTCTGATATAGTCGTTCTACCTTATAGCTCTGACGAGTTAAGAGCTAAAAGACTTTGATCTTGACCACCTAACACACGAAATGCCAACTTCCGTTAAGAGCAGACCTAATGTGTCAATCATCTGTTCACCTCACCAGCTCGATGGATATCGCTTTAATATACGCGTATATCCCACACTTATATGTTTTATGCCAGCAACACATAGAAATTGTGTGATTAGTAAATATCTATATATTGTAGCTAATGAATGAAGTAGTTACCTAACCTTTTCTCGTCCAGGTCCCCTTATGATGGTCATGGCGTCGTTGATGCTACTTCTGGGTTGTGGCGTAACGCTTCTGGGATATACATCGGCGCAAACCGATCGTAAGGAAATACAGAAATACGTAGACGCCGAAATGCAGAGCCTTCCGGTTAGTACCAAATTCAACTCAACAATCTCGTACTTAACATTACTTAAACGTCACTCGTATGACAATGTGTATATAATATGGATACAGAACGAATCAACTAGAAACACTGCATTTATATTCTAAAAGCTTGTCTATGAAATATAGGGCATTTCCAGGTTTTCTGTGGTTCCCATATTGTTATTATTATATCACACTAAGCCTATATGACGCTAACTAGAATTTTGCTTACTGATTATGCCCTCAAATATAAATAGAATAATTCAGATAAGAGTAAGTATCTTAGACATGATGTTTGTTAGACAAAAGTTTTTGTTTTTTTTTTTTAATGAAAATTGAATATTTCATTAAGGTCTATCATTCTGGTGGGACCTATGTTAGCTTGACACAAATACAAGTACCCTACAACATTCCTACTCCAAGATACATGGGTATGCTTACGATATTGTCAATGATTTACCAAAATGAGGTAATTTTTCGACCACCAAATCATGTGTACTTAAAGTATTGTGACATCTTCTACGCGAGCTGTAACTACGTTTCCACTGTGGCAGTGCAATCGATGAATTGGAAAATGTATTGATGATAAAATAATTTTAGCATCTTCTATGCCTCGTGTATAAGCAATTAAACGGTTTCAGCCAGCGGTCAGGGGTAAGCGGGGAAGATCAACATTAACCACCTCTGTTACAAGCCAATGTACATGTGTAGCCTTTCACATATGATGACTCAGTTGTTAGAACTTTAACGTTAAGCAAGCACATGTTGAGACGAAGCAATAGAGAAATATAACAACAATAAGAAGAAGAAGAAAAATACAAATTTTTATTAAATAGATTTATTTGCGAAAAAGAGAACTATCTAAAATAAGCGAACGTGTTTAACATAATTTTATTTCAACATGGCTTCCAGGTGCATCAGAGCGGATACCCTTATACGAAATAGCACCGGATCGACTTCTACGGTAACGAATAATATGGTCAGCGACATAGTGTACAATTCCATTTAGCATGCATTGACGATATCCGCTGCCTTTCCGAGTGAAATAGTAAGAAAACCGTTCTAGACCGTGACGTTCATTTCGCTAAACAAAAAAGAACTCTATTCCCTTCAGCCATATAGGAGAGGAGCTAAAATTGTCACGCCTTCACACTGTCCACTCGTTCAGTATAATGCAAATTGTCTACGGTAAACTCTATATAAGCTAAGTTCTTCTATATCATCAGCTTTGAGCGCGACCCGTCAGCAGCATCTGCAACTACTTGGCCAGATGATTGGGCGTCAATTCATTGATTACATAGTGGTTGTTTGTAGGTCTGGCTTGCGGAGGAAGCAGATTAGTACAGTTGCCAGTGCGCGTGTTATTTGTGGTCGGCCACGCAATCTGACTTTTCTATAGTTTCAATGTTTGTTTTTGATTTTGAGCGATGTGGTGAAACTATACTGAAAAGCAATATTTAATATCGACGTATTGAAACTGTAGACTTTGCAAGCGGACGAAAGACATCTCCGAGTAGATCTGTTTTGTTTAGAGAGAAGCATTTGAGCAGCGATGGCAAACTGAGCCACGGCGATTCTCCCAAATTTTGACCATAGAGAACTTTTGATTTGTCTGTTTATCTAGGCCAAGTTACTCTGATGTGAGATAGGGCAAATATATTGATTCTTACAAGCCGGATTAAGCAAAGAATCGAAGCAGCAAAACGCATAGGGGCCCATGAAATTATATATATGTATAAACCTAAAGGAAGAGATTATTGAATAAGATACAAAAAAAAAACTTTGTACTACTAGTCCTATCGAGGAATTAATTATGTTTACGTAGCGCACACTATCAACGTGTTTACACTCTATCGAATTTTCAGTATATACGCGAATATAAATGCTGTATAAAGTTAGAAATCTGTATTTTCTCAATTGTAAGCATGTCATAGGCAATCGACATAAAGCATAATCATCCAACCGTAAATTTGAATAAAAATACACGATTTTTTTTAAGTCAATCTGCATGTGAACTTAATTAACATTATGTAATAAAATCGGGTAGATATATGGATATCTATTTTTGAATTGTTTCAGGGCAAAAGAATTCCATAAGGGCCAACTTTTAGGCCATGTTCAATGTTGAAAAGTTTGAAAAATTCTGAAATAGGATCTGCGCGATCAAATTGTTTCTTAACCAAGTCCGTACAAGCTTATCATGGTACAAGCGGCCCGTCGCAGTTCCTATAATCGTATGGAGTGAGATACTATAGCAATGACTCGCAAAACACGAAAAATATAATCAAATAATAAAAAAAAGTATATTCTAACTTACCCAGCTATCGAGCAATGGCGTTCAGTATTAAGTATGTTTTATTTATTTGAGGACATACTCTCATTCGTAATTGACATATGAGTCGTTCACTGATTATATATACTTACACACTCCCTAGGAATACCAAGCTCCCTTTTACAGGGAATCCGCAGCGAACGATACACAGTGTGCTGACGGAGAAAATTATTCATAGGTATTTATAAGCTGTGTCGGATTTGAGACATGGTGAACTGGGATTAGAAAAGAAAACTATCAATAAATTCTCTCAGATTACGTCGTGAATTATGAAGCCGTTTGATTTAAAGATGGGAGTACGGGCAAAATCTGCAGGACGTTGCCTGCAGCTTTAGACGGTGCCACCGGACATCGGGCAGAGCGATATTCAATATATACTGACCAACTGATCATGTCTGTAACCGACGAAGATCATTACTATTTTATCTAGCTACCGACGTAAGTGACCGAACGCGCACAACGGAAATAGGAGAACTTTGGATTCGAAATCAAAAGAGATTTGTGGGGCAGCTGTAGGCAACATCAAAAAATAGCTAATTAACACGTTTTTTTTCTTGTGTCTTATTACCTACACAGTTCATATTCTTCGTGCCTTGTTAACTCACTTTCCTCCTATTGTATGATAAATTGATGATGTTCTGCAAGAATATAATGTAGTGGATAATAAGTGTATACTTCTTATTAGCAGACGGAGCTGTAGGATAAGACTCCTTGGCTCTCTGCCATTTTTTTTCTATGAGAGTTAACCGTCTGGTTCTGTTGATTTTGATTCCAGCCAGTAGCCGGGATTATGTAGTAACTTCAGACATAGGCAAACACAGTCGTACTAGTGGTACATACACGTATTCATATTTGAATAGGATAAATTGAAATGCTATAATCTGGAGAAATGTATACGCTGAACCTAATTACAGAGTGAATGATAACCGGGTGAAATCATTGTCGTCCAAATTTTTGTTCTATATAACATACCTAAAGTATAAGTCTTGTTTATAGTTTATACCTATATTATAGTTTAACAAGTTCATGAGATAAATTTCACTTTGGTAACCGCCAACATAAATGTGTATTTCACTTGTTAATCCTATCTGAAGACCTGAGCTCGAGCTGTTGAAGTGCACAAAAAGGTTTCCAAGACGTTGTCTTACAACTTTTCGCAGCTATAAGTAGGGGCCATATTATCTGCTACATGTTGCTATATCTGCATACTCTTTCTGGCTGAAGTACCAGCCCGGTGCGAAGAAAATCTGTGACCTTCTAATACCACTAAATGAAACTTTAATGGATGGTATGATACCTCTTTCGTTGACACCGTGTGCGTTATTTATATTGTGTGAGTTCTTGGAAAACACAAAAACTTCCACGATTACTCTGTGCCGTCCAAGGTGTTTTGTGAAAATGAAGTACAAGCAATATTTTTGCAGTCCAGAGCTAGTCGCCTTCATGCTAGAAGCCAGCCAGCCAGCCAGTCGTCTAATGGAAAGCATAACGGCGATATCGGACGTAAAGCTCGAAACATAGAGGACTAGTCGCAAAAAATCTCCGAATCCCATATTGTTTCAATCAAAGGTGGTGAAATACACCTTTAGTAGAAATGTACTGAAAGCGGTAATAGGATCAAGTGTACATTATTATTAGGATTGAAACATTTGCTTCAAATAATTGAAAATTTCATTATGTTGTTACATTTTGCCGTTTAAATGCTTCGAAGCTCTAGTAAAACTGTGCAGTTGTGTGATCATTGGTTATATACTACTGGGAGTTAATTGAGTTTCTTCACGGAGTAATGGGTTCAGGGTGGGAAATGTCGTTCAGTACTGAGCACCAATAGTCGGGAATTAGGTTTATGCCAAGAGGTGACTGCGCCCTAGAACCCCAAGTAGAATAATAAATGTTTGTAATTACCGAAGTTGTTGAGCATGAACCTCTTTATCACCTCAATGAGAAGTTCCTCAAAGTAGGCATCATGTAACTGTGTCGAAAACATTGAAAATACAAAACAACAGCAGGGAGAAAACAGGTTTTTTAGAAGCTGAGTCAGTGCCGAATAGAGTCGTGTGTAAACTGATGTTCATACTTAGTTAGCACAGTTATCAGGGATATTTGGTGTTCCTTTGAGCTGTTGCCCAAAAAGGTACTGATGCCTTAACAATGTGGGGTATTCTACTGTCAGTTTTTTAAAATCAACCATTGGCAGCAAGATTAAATAGATAAATAATGAACTTACAGCTAGTTAAATGTTCTCAGGGTGCTAGCACATGTATACAAATCTCACTGTTCTGTTTTATCTAGTTTAAAAGCTATAAGCATTTTTCGAATAAATAAACTAATAAATAACAAGCTGAATAGATAGGCTCGTACGGCGGGTTCTGACTTGCGTTGTACAGAATATATTTTTTATAACAGATTTTCTCTACCATACTAACTTTACTTCATTTCAAAAGAACTTAACTTGCTAGTAATTAGTAAAATAACTTTTCTCTTATCGCTATGCAATAGACATACAGGCCATTTTCTGTTAGTGTCCTGCCATCATCAAGTATTCAAAATTATTCTACTGGCTTCTAGAACCGACAACGCGTCAGTAAATAGTAACTTGTAACGGTTGATTGCAACTATAAACAAAAGACACCGATTCGCGTCATATATAGCGTAAGGATACAATCTGGACTTACGGAACTCCAGGGCCTGAAGTAATGCTTAAACCTAACATGAGACGAAAAAACTGTAACAGTGAAAACAACAGAAAACCAAAACAGCGTTTCATTATTTCTGCCCCAATCTTTCGTTTAATTTATTATGTCGGCAAAAATGTAATTTTATAATGTCGATGTCGATAACACTTCGAAAAGGTAACTTCTTTCACTAAAATTATTTATTCGGCGTTCTGTCCTACTTTCTTCTTTATCTTACTATTAGGATAAAAGAAGGATTTCTGCCAAAGAAGACATCCATAAAACAATATTTATTCGTAGACCTATTTACGGGCTTCCGTTTTTTGTTTAGAATAGTTTGCTCTCTGGGCCAGTATTGCAGGGGTTTGAATTGTCGGAATCCGATGCAGCTGGATTTTACAGGGTCTGGAAGCTGAAGGCCGAATATTTTTTCATTCATGGTTCGCCAGGGTTTCGCAAATTGCCGAAATTACATGACGCCTTGTCTTATGACGACACAAAATCATTTGACGACATGCTTCGTGTGTCCAATGCATCTTTTTTTCTATATTTCTCAACTCAATTCCTCGATTTAAATTGAGTGATAGCTCTGTATGAAACCTAGTAAATCATTCGACGCTACATCAATTGGAACTCATCAAGTTGTTTCTCATGATATATGGAAAAAAACAGCTGGATTGAAACAGTGGAAGATCGTGATGGTCGGTGATAAAACACTAACGACAGGATTATTGTATCTACGGGACCCACAGATGTGTCCGGCATGGTCTAGTGGCTAGGATACGCGGCTCTCACCCGCGAGGCCCGGGTTCGATTCCCGGTGTCGGAAAGTTTTCATTTGTTCCTGTGGTTTACGTACCACCCCGACAGACACTCTTTTCGTGCTGTCAACCAGCTGTGTGGTGGAAGGCCTAGTGGCAGTGCCGGAAAACTCAAAACACTTAGTGTGTGTGGTAAGCCATTGGAAATAGTGACATTCACAAGTGACTGACATATGACACAAGTGCATGTGAGCTATGCAACCGATTATTTCATACTGCTTTATCTTAGCCCTCTTTAAAATTAGACGCGCTATCTCAACGTTTGCACTGCGCCCGAGTTTTTACCCCTGCCAGAAAAAAACCACCATTACCCATTATGAAAGAAGCAGAAGAGTCACAAATCACTGCAATGTAGTCCAACGAAGTCTGAGTTTTCGTTATTGGATGTTAAGACAACAGCTATTTACCTTTAATAGAAATGGATTAAATTGATTTCTAATTAAAGTGACTTCTTTTTTATTATAACCAAAAGCACTGTGTACGATCGTAACTCATGAACTAGCCAAGGACTGGCAGACTTGAACAATACAACAATATAGAGTACCTTAAATGTGTTACTTAAAAGTAGAAGCAGACGCTAATCGCACCTGAGTAGAAAAGGCCTCGAGAATAGTTTCAGCTGACCCTTTACAAACTACTTTAAGCGATTTTTTTTCTATTTATTTTTATTTTTAAGCGATAATCTTCGACAGATCTACGATTGCGATCAAGTCCCTTATATACCAACTGATAAATGTTGACCGATTTTTCCGTGTACGTTTATTACAAATTTATTTAAAATATCAATAAGCAGTTTTTTTTTTCATTAATATTTCGTCTGAATTTTGCAGGCTACCAAAACCGCACGACGTCTGGTATTGTGACGCAAGAAACCCACCTGACCGTAGGCTTCTTCTATCCAAGGTTTTTCTCGTCTATTTCTTTACTCAGTTTCATGGTTTGGGTCAAATGTAGGGTCATGCCAGTCGGTTATAATATGTAAATGCTTACTCAACGAGATAATAGTTCATCGTCGTCTATTTTAAGCGGCCATGAGGCACTTGCTTTGTGATTTGAATCGAGATCCGCAGCTGTAAAGCGCTTAAATTAGTTTTGGCCTACGTTGATACTGTTAATTTTGTTCAACTTCATGCACAATTCCACTTGTCTCAGTATAACTATTTTTGGTCGTACAA